GTGGTGCTGGGGGATTGAACCGCGGTCCCTGTGCTTTGCCAAGCTTGTTCCAAGTAGGTGCTTTAGACCACTGAGCCATCTCACCAGCCCCTCCACTGTGTTTTAAAAGCATGACATTCGAAGTCTATTTTTCTCTGTATCTGTTCTTTTGACATAAGTACATACTACCAGAAAAAAGAACATAAATGTAGTGTGTGTGGCATTTAACATTCATGAACTAGTGATTCTCCTATGAGTTAAGAGGATGCCAAAAAGAAAAGTAATGGATGGAAAGTATCACATATAATTGCTGGGAGCACTACTCACCTTCATCTGCTTTTATAGATAGATTGAAGAAATCATACAGGCCATAAATATGTGAACAACATATTTGAGGCCCAAGAAAAGTTTATGGACACTGAAATTTAGATATAATTTTCAAGTATAGCCAAAATATTATTTGATTTGTTTTGATTATTTCAATATATAAAAACTATTTTGAGGGGCAATATATACATAGACAGCAGGTATCTGATCTGATATCTGATCATTAGTCTGCCAAGCCTCTAATATAACAAGTGCAGAACAATTTATTACATTTGAGTATTTGGAGCATCTTCAGATTATTTATATAATACAATACAGACTAGAAAGACTGTCAGAAAGGTAAGTTTGTATAATGGTTAAGAGAACACAAATAAAACCTGAATTCGAAGGTTATATTTTATTTGTCCAATATATACTATTTGGATAAGAATTTTCAAAGTCTCAGAGATCATGTCTGCATCTCGTACTCTGAATAACTATTATGAAGACAATAATATGCACTGTATTAATTATTGTAACTGTCCTACTCACCAGTTTTGACACTCATGGCTATTTCTTTCTCATTAAAATTTTAAAAAAAGAAAAAAAGAATTTTCAAAAGTCTCAATTCATTCACTATTATGAAGGATAACAATTCAAAGCACAGATCTAAAAATGAAATGAGATAATCTATGCAAGCTGATTATAACAGTACTTACAATGGATGGGCTCAATAAATGTTAACCACATACATATATTATTGCCACTGCAAATCAGATAATGACACCCCTAAAAATGAGTGATAAAATACACATTAAAGTGGTAAAATTAACCAGATATAGGCACATACAACAGAGTAAGATAAATCCAGAAGGATTCAAACACTATGAGAAGTATGATACAAGTACATAAAGTTTATTATTTTGCGGAGTAACCTTTGGAATGGAAGGCAGAACTTAAATATAAAGTCAAGAATCCCAAGTGAATATGGAAAACAGCCTTAAAAAACTGAATCAGATTTCAGGAACAAAAGTAGAAAGTGTGACAATCATACAATAGGCCCCCTGTGTAGGGATGGGAGGATGTAATAAAGTCAATAAAGACACTCAGATGTGGTGGCACATCTGGGTAACCCCAGTATTTGAGAGGCTGAGGCAGAAAGATCATTGTGAGTTCAAGACCATCCTGGGCTACATAAGTAAATCTGAGTTCAAGGCCACCCTGCACTACACAGTGACATCCTACCTCAAAAAAATTAAAAAAAAAAAAAGTCAACAAAGACATAGTAAGTAGAAGAATGGAACATAGTACATATACAAAACAAACAGTGTAACAATTCTTATCACAGGAAAAAAAATGTTTATGTACTTGAAAGATGAAAAGGAAGCTATTTAAGAGAAGCAAACTTAAGTACAATATATGATTTCATAAGAAAATACTGTTAAAGTTGAAAAATCTACTTACTGATACAGCTATCATTGTACTGTCTGGCCTCCATTCAGCTTGTTTATAGGATCCAAACTGAGTAGATGATTTTGTAGGTTCCTTGTAGGTTACAATTAATACAGTAGGCTGGAAGAAAATAGTTGTACTTTTGTTAATAGCTCATAAAAACATAAAAACTTGATTTATAAAATATTCTGAAAGCATTTTAAAATGCAATAAAAGACATTATAACCTAATATTAAATCATAAACTTTCAACACTCCAAACAAATTAGACAATGTTAAGCCTTTATCTATTTTTTTAAAAACCCAAATCAATAATTAATAACTTTACAAAAAAGAACTAGCCCAGATGAGTTCACAGGTGAATTCAACTAAACATTTCAATAAGTTAGGTAAGTCTGCTACAAAGCCTTATGGAGGGTGGAGTGCCTCTTAAATCATTCTACAAGGCCAGTATTATCTTAATACCAAAGCCAGACAAAGGCATTACAAGAAAAGAACACTACACACTGAAATCTCTTAAAAAGACAGGTGCAAATTCCCAATAAAATACTGGCAAACGAAGCCTAACGATACGTAAAAAGTATGTACCACAATCAAGTGGGACACATCCCAAGCATGTAAGACTATCTCAACACTAGAAAATAAATGACTACAACCCATAAGATCAACGGACTAAAAGAGGGGGAAAAATTACATAATTACATCAATAAATGCAAAAAAGCATTTGCTGTATTTAACAGGTATTCATAATAACTCAGCAACTTCAACATGATAATGAATACCTACAAAACAAAAGCCCTACATTTAAGGTATTTAAAGAGAAACTCAAAGTTTTCCTATTAAGTTCAGCGAAAATGCAAAAATATCCTCATCTCCATTGTATCCCTCAACAGATCTCCCTGTCTAGTTCAGGCTGGACTTAAACTCCCATCACTGCAATATTCAGCCCCACAAAGCTGTCAGCCTCAGGTTGCTGGAGTTCGAACCTCACACCTCTCCGCTGGCCAAAAGTGCCCTGGAGGCATTCAAGGAACAACAACAACAAAAAAAAAATCCTTGGGGGCCTGGCCCTAGCTCAGGCTTTTAAGTGGCTGCTTCCACAATATTCAGCCCCAGTGCTAGGATTACAGGTGTGCTCCACCATGTGCAGCCTTCACTGTTTTTCAATACAGTAGCAAAAGTCCTAACTGAAGAAAATGAGACACCAAAAAGGAAGAAATAAAACTGCTTATCCACAGATATGATGATCACTGATGGAAAAAAACCTGAAAAAAATCAACAAGAAAAAAACCTTGGAAACTACTAAGCAAAGATAGAAAGTTGTAGGGTACAAAGTTAGTATACAAAAGTCAAACACTTGCTTATATTCCAGCAATGAAAAAGTGGAATTCATAATTTAAAATATTTATGCATTTACTAAGTACCCACAATGAGATAGTGTATAAATCTAACAAAATATATACAAGATTTCTATGAGGACTATCATTAGGATGAAGTATAACAAAGAGCTAAATAAATGAATGTATGTTACAGATTAATGATAAGAGGAGTCAATCACAAAGATGTCAGTTCTTTCCAATTTGTTCTATAGACTCAGTGAAATCTTAAGTCAAAATCACAGCAAGTTATTTTGTGGGTGTCAACAAACTCTAAATTTTATACAGAGAGGCAAAAGACTGACCAAAAAGAGTCAACTGAATATGAAGAAAATGGAGAACTGATACTACCTGACTTCAAGACTTACTATAAAGCTACAGTAAGCAAGAGGGCAAAGCATGGGTGAAAAAGAAACAAAGTGGTCAAAGAAACACAATAGGGTGCCTAGAAACAGACCTGCATAAATAGTTTACTGATCTTTGACAATGGAGCAAAGGAATATAAAGGAGGAAGGTCTTCAACAGGTAGTGGTAGAACAATGAACAAAAACATTCACTAAAAAATCTAGAGGCAGATTTTATACCTTTTGCAAGAGTTAATAAAATAAATCAGTTCTAAATGCAAAATGTAAAATTCTTACAAGATAACTCTTAGAAGTAGAAAAATCTAGATGACTTAGCAACAATATTTATAGACAATAACAAAGGCATAATGTTCAACAAAAATGACTGACAAATCAAATCTACTATGTGAAAGACAATTACGAGAATGATGACAGAAAGCCACAAACTGGGAGAAACTTGCCAGGCAAGCATGGTTAAGGGTCTTTTTAAGACAGGGTTTCACTGTGCAGCTCAGGTTGGCCTCAAACTCAGTGATCCTCCTACCTTACTCAGCCTTCTAAGTTCTGGGAGTATATGTGTCACCACACCTGGCTATACCTAATCTTTTTAAATGTTATTTTGAGACAGTCATGCTAGGTTGACTAGGCTGGCTTTGAACTTGGGATCCACCTATCTCAATTTACTAAGTATCTGGGATTAGTCACACTGTATAATCTATGTTCACACTAGCTTGCACCCCTACTTAGTTGTTGGGTTTTTTTCCACCCTCTGGAAGTGTCAAACTTGGCTTTCATTTAATACAATGTATTGACTTATTTGTTCAATTCTATAGTTCAAGAATGCCCAACAGTATCCTTGTAAGAAACAAACTAACCAAGTAAAATATATTGTTTATGTACAGCTCCTATCTATTACTTTAGCCTCACAATCAACAGTTACAATACTGAATTTCTGTGCCAGGGAGATAGCTCAGTGGTATGAGCGCCTACCTGGCAAACTCAAGGACCTGAGTTCCATCCCTGGTACCTGGCCCCATGCTGAGCTGGCCAACAAAACTGGACATGGTAGTGCATGCCTGTAATCCCAGCACTGGGGAGGATGAGACAGGAGGATCACTATGAGTCTGAGCTGCAAAGCAAGACCCTGTACCAAATAAATAAATAAATAAATAAATAAATAACTGATTGACTGATTGATAAAAAATTGTTTTATATATTGAATTTCCAAAGTTACATACAGAGGTCATCCCTTTAAAAGCTTTTCTTTTCCTAATCTCTGAAAGTGCAATATAAAAGTTTTTAAGATGCTAATAAGGGTCCAAATACATTAAAACTGCTAGTCATTAGTTGCTTATACTGTAAACATAAAGTAAAAGTTAAAAACAAGTACATACCTCAGGTGTTATTTGCAATGAATGAAAATATGGAAAACATAGCTGGGGAGCAATTAGGAATTTATGGAGACAATGTATAAAAGGAACCTGACTCTGAAAAGTGAATTAGAATAACAAAACTTTAAAAAAGAACTTACATTACCTAACTGGTTCTATAATAAACAGTTATCAAAACTGTATGATACTGACATGAGGATATAGAGATTATTGAAACAACAGAGTTCAAAAACAGAAAAGTCATTAGAAAGATACAAAGTCAATTTAGTGGAAAGAGAAGTATCTTTTCAACAAATGGTGCTGGAACCAAGAAACAATAATATTTTTTAAAAACCTGAAATCCATACTTTGTGCCATATAAATATTAACTCATGGTGCATTGTAAATTTATGCTATCTGTAAAATTAATCCATAATCCTTCAGGAATATAGGAGCAAATACTTTGTTGGCTTGGATTAGACAAAGATTTTTTAGATAAAGCACAAACAGTGACAAAAGAGAATTGATAAAATTCTTCATACAAATTAAATATTTCTCCTCAAAAAACACTGTTGAAGTAGGCAGGGTGCCATGCCTTTAATTCCAGCACTTGGGAGGTTGTGGCAGGAGGCCTCAAGCTTGAAACCAGCCTGTTTCTCACCAGACTGTTTCTCATATAGTGGGTTCAAGGACAACTGGAACTACATAGTGAGAACCTGTCTTTAAAAAAAAAAAAGTTAAAAAGAGATATGCCAGATTGAGAGCCAGCCATATAGCTCAGAGGATTAAAGTGCCTACAAGCAGGCTCAGGGTTCTATCCCTGGGGCACACTGAGGCAGCAATAGAGACTGAGCGTGGTGGCACACACCTGTAATCCCAGCTCTTGGGAGGCTGTAAACAGGTGGATCACTATGAGTCCAACCTAGTAGTGAGACCCTGCACACCCTGCAGACACTTCCCTAAAACAAATTTTTTTAAAAAAAGTTATGCCAGATTGGAAAAAAAATTTGTAAATCACATATTTACAGCAAGGATTTGTATCCAGAATATATAAAGAACTCTCAAAGCACAGAAAGACTACCAACAACCTAATAATAAATATGGGCTAAGGATTAAAAAAAGATACAGCATTAGACTTTATCATGCAGAATTACTAAGTCATACTAGTATAAAAAGTGAGGTAATTGAAAGAGAAGGAATAGTTTTGACTTGCATTAAAATTCCAATTACTAAATGGAATTTAGGAAAGAACACAGAATTATTAGGTAAACACCATTTATTCATATCAATTGCAGACCAAATATGATATGGATGCTAAAATTAGTAAGAAAAAGTTTCAGAAAGGAAAAAGATTTACTCCTATATTACCTCACCCAAGTTACTTTTTATATTTAACTACAAAAGGAAAGAGTCACTTCACAGTAGAGAAATCTGGCAACTTAATCAAGTGATCAAGGTAAGTATCACCACTAAGAATGTCATGAGCTATTTGGTATTATACACTAAGAACCACACGACTTTTTTTGTAATATTCTTGTCAAAAGTGATAGGCTCTTATTCATGAGAAAAATATTGAAATATGTTCAAAAGGAAACATTACAAAGTAACTGATTAGCACTCTTTAAAAAAGTGAAATCATGGATATACCTCTAGAACAGAAAAATAATCTCAGTTAAAAAAACTGGGGCAAATATCAATCAGATCGTGGTTCAGTCAGTAATATATCAGTGTTAGTTTCCTCTTTATACTTATGTTAAGTGAAAGATACACATAAAAAATGAATACATGTGATTCTATTTAAATAAAAATTCTAAAAAATGTAATCTACATAAAGAGAAAACAAGCAGATGAGTGATTACTTACGGGTGGACCGTGGTAAGACATAACTACAAAACAGCACGGTGAAACACTTAAGGGTGACGCATGTATTTATTATATGGTAATGGCTTTATGGACATATAATGTCGAAACTAATTAAATTCACATTGAAATGTGCAATTTACATTAAGCCAATGAAGTCTGTTAAAAGTT